CATTCGTTAATCTCGTGGTTTAGTAAGAAACAGGTTAGTGTTGCACTTTCCACCACCGAAGCGGAATATGTCGCTGCGGGAAGTTGTTGTGCCCAAATTCTTTGGCTAAAACAACAACTAGTGGATTTCGGCCTTATACTTGATCACATCCCAATTAGGTGTGACAATATGAGCGCCATTAGTCTATCGAAGAACCCCGTTCTTCACTCCAGGACTAAACACATAGAAATTAGGCATCACTTCATACGAGATCACGTCCAAAAGGGAGATGTCACAATTGAGTTTGTTGAAACGAAACATCAATTGGCCGACATTTTCACGAAACCCCTTAGTAGGGAGAGTTTCTTTCACATTCGGAATGAACTTGGCATTTTGGATATCTCTATGAACTAATTTATTCTTTTTATTGATGGTACTAATTTGAGCGTCGGAGGCGCAATAATTCTTTTTGCAGGGCTTTTATTGTAGGTATCTCTTCCCTTGGTATTCAACCTAATTGGACTTGATATTTTTTTCTCTCAAACAAATTTTAATCGATTATTCCTCAAAGAAAAATCGATTAGTCGCCTCTGTCTTTCTTAATCGATTAATCGTTTCTGTTTAATCGATTAATTTGCAAAACGTCTTTAGCGCTGATTCACCTTTTAATCGATTAATTTTGTTCAATTAATCGATTAGACTCATATGTTCATCTTAATCGATTAACCTTCTATAATTAATCGATTAATATCTTGAAAGAGACGTTTTGGCTCTGCTTCTTCTAATCGATTAATAAGCTTCATTTAATCGATTTTCCCTCGGCTGTGTTCCTTAATCGATTAAATACTACATTTTAATCGATTAATATTCGATTTTCGCCCTATATCCAGCGCAGGCTTCGTCTTCTTCGCCATTCTCTGCGCCATTCGATCAAAAACCCTAACACTTCTCCTCTTCAATCCCTCTCAATTTTCTTCCATTTTCTCACCAAACTCTATCAATTTCAAAGAGCAAGGATGCTAAGGTGCAAGAACACTTCCTCAGGTCAAGAAACCACGGCAGAGGAAAATGAGAGGCCATGGCGTCGCGAAGGAAGCAAGTACATTCACATTCAAACGGGTCTCGCCTTCAACACTGGGGCTTCAGTTGAGAGGTTCCACAACATCTTCCTCACGAAGGAGATTGTCGCTCCCAACATCGTGAACAAGGACCTTTTCAAATCGGCGACCTATGCCTCGAGTAAGTCTATGTTCTTTCAACAAGGATTGCTTCGGTTCATTCATTTGACGTATGAATTTTTCTGTCCAAATCTTATACGTCAATTTTATGCAAATCTTCGTACCACTAAGGGAGGTTCGCCATCTCTCATTTCCTATATTGACGGCAAAACCGTTTTCATTGACGGTGCCGGTTTGACTTCGTTGTTTGGTCTTCGTCGCGGTGAAATTACCGAAAACTTGGATGAAACATTCCAAGATGAGGCAATTTGGCGACAACTCGGGTTGGATCATCGTGACCTCAAGTTTAGAAACTCTAGCAACCCGAGTGTCGTTAATCTCACTTTAATTCAACGCGTCCAACAATACATTTTTTCATATGTTTTGTTGCCCCGTGATTCGAACCATGGCGTCGTCAACAAGGACGATATTCGTTTGTTTCACGTCCTGTTGAACGATGTCAAATTTGATTGGGTTCACTTCTTTATCGTTGCCCTTAGCGATGGCACTCGTTTTTCCCATCTCCGGTTTGCCATCCCCGTTATGCATATCCTTGCACATTGCAAAATAGACTTTACTCGGGACACTCAGGTGCCGGTTAAGAA